TATACTGAAATGAAGAATTTCCACATCAAAAGAAACCATAGAGAAAATGAAAAAGTAAGCCAGAGTTGAAGAAGATATTTGTAACACACATAACGAACAAAAGTTGAGATTCCTGGGTAAACAAAGAACTCCAATAAACCAATAAAAAATAACAGGCAAAATGCTGTGGTATATATTTATACAATGAAAACAAAACAAAGAAAAAACTGACCAGGCATGGTGGCTCACGCCTGTAATCCCAGCACTTTGGGAGGCCAAGGCAGGCAGATCACCTGAGGTCAGTTCGAGATCAGCCTGGGCAAGATGGCAAAACCCCGTCTCTACTAAAAATACAAAACTTAGCTGGGCATGGTGGCATGCACCTGTACTCCCATCTACTTGGGAGGCTGAGGCAGGAGAATCACTTGAATCTGGGAGGCAGAAGTTGCAGTGAGCCGAGATCACACCACAGCACTCCAGCCTGGGCAACAGAGCAAGACTCTGTCTCAAAACAAACAAACAAAAACCCACAGCTACACGTAACAATACAAATAAATCTTACAAACTTAATGTTGAGTGATAAAAGCACCTGGACTAAAGCAGGGATGTTAATATAAATAACATTATCAGTAGCCTTTATCCTCACTTCTTCCCCCACCCAAGCTATCTTTCCACTATGGTGACTATCCTTGATTTGCCTGGGACTGAGGAGTTTCCATAAATGGGGCACTTTCAGTTTTAAAAGCTGGAACAGTCCTGGGAAACTGGGAAGAATTGGTCACCCAATCTTGTCCGCCTATTCCCCCCACCCTCCACTTCTTGTCCTTGGCTAGCACTAACTAGCACTAACGCAGTGGCACCAACACACCAATCTTAGTTGTGCAGATAGAGATGAAGAATATGCAATCAATAACAAAGAAAAAAAACAAGAAACAAAAATGAAGTTGATCATAATTGCCAGGCTGTATAAATCAACCATGAAATCCTTTAAGCTACTGAGGAAACCCACAATGGAAACTAAGTCCCATATGTTAGTGGTTGATTTATGGAACATGTGGAAATCTCCATGTTTATCTCATGGGTTTTCATCTGACTACTAAAAAGGACAAGTTAGCCAAAGGAACTATTTCTTAGAATTTAACAATCAGTGTTGGGGTGTGATTTCTCTCTTAATTATGTGGAGTTTGCAAAGTGCATCATCCTTTTGAACCAGCAACATAAATATTATCTGGGAATGTGTCAAAAATGAAAATTATCAGGCCCTATCCCAGACCAAGTGATCAGATACTGAGTGTGTACAAGGCCTTCAGGCAATTCTGATACACATGGCAAAAGTGTGAGAACCACGGGATTTGTGTACCCACATCCTCTCTTCCTTTTTTGTGATGGGCATTCGGTGGATTAGTAAGACACCCCCAAGAATTCAGGTGTTGTATCTAGTTTTCATATTACCACTCTCTGTCAGGTCAGGCAATTAAGGATCTTGGATACCACCATCAACAGTAAATATTTCACATAGTGCCAGATGTACGACACCTTAGCCTCAGCACATGAAACCCAAACAATGGAATACTCTTTGCTCCCCATTTACTTTCCTGTATCTGCTTATTAATCTCATGCATCATGAACTGCTACAGAATTAACCTTCACTGGCCGGGTGCAGTGGTCCACACCTGTAATCCCAGCACTTTGTGAGGCTGAGGTAGGAGGAGTTCGAGACCATCTTGGCCAACATGGTGAAACCCCGTCTCCACTAAAAATACAAAAATTAGCCAGGCATGGTGGTGCACACTTGTAATCCCAGCTACTCTGGAGGCTGAGGCATGAGAATCGCTTGAACCTGGGAGATGAAGGTTGCAGTGAGCGGTGACCACGCCATTACACTCCAGCCTGGGTGACAGAGAAAGACTGCCTCAAAAAAATAAAAAAATTAAAAAAAAAACCTTCACTGAATTGACCTCAGTACTTGATTGCCTATAATTCTGCAAAAAAAAAAAAAAAAAAAAAAAACTGAACTTTTTATTTTAGAATCATGTATTTTATTACTTTAAAAGCTGGAAAACATAACAAATACATTTTATAAAGAAGGTGAGCACAAGATCAACTATCATCCTTTGTTGTAAGATGAAATTGTGATTAATCAAACCCAATTTTTTTTTTTGAGACGGAGTCTTGCTCTGTCGCCCAGGATAGAGTGCAGCGGCTCGATCTCTGCTCACTGCAAGCTCCGCCTCCCAGGTTCACACCATTCTTCTGCCTCAGCCTCCTGAGTAGCTGGGACTACAGGTGCCTGCCACCACACCCCGGTAATTTTTTTTTTTTTTTAGTAGAGATGGGGTTTCACTGTGTTAACCAGGATGGTCTCGATCTGACCTCATGATCTGCCCGCCCTGGCCTCCCAAAGTGCTGGGATTACAGGCTTGAGCCACCGCGCCCGGCCAAACCCAATTTTCTTAACATCATTTTAAAAACACACACACATTTATTTCCAAGGATGCCCTACAAGGACTGTCCTGTGCTCAGAACCTGCCTGGGGCTCTTGGCTTTTGAATGAAAAGAACTCATTCCAGACATTTCATAATCTCAAGTCATTACTTGCTTTCTGCTGGGTTGATAAAATACAGGATGATTCCACTTACTATGATTTTAAAAAGGTAAAACTAAACAATATTTTATAGAGATGCATATGTGTATGGTAAAACTATACAGAATAAAAAGGAAATAATAATCACAAAGGTTAAAAAAAAGGGTTACCTGTAGGTGAGAAAGGAGGCTAAGTCTGGAAGGGATGGGAATCCATTTTTAAGGAACTGACTATATCCTATTTCTTGACTTGAGCATGAGTTACAAGAGTTTTTACTTTATAATTTACAAATTTTACATGCTCTTCTGTATGTATGCTGCAAAAATAAATAAATGCACTTACACAACCACTCCAAAATTTAGCAGGGAGAGAAGGAAGAGTTCACAGACTACCTTAAGTCCATAAACCCCAGGTTTATAGTTATCAAGCTATGTGAGATCGGAGAAAAGTAAACTCTTTAGATTGTAAAATGGTAAGGGAAGGAAGGAGCACTGAGAACAGGAAAAGTGAAAAACTGAAAAGGTGATGCAGAAAAAACATGAAGCTTCTGCGTCAGTTCATACCCTCTCACTTGGAGGAGGGCAACATCTAGCACAGACATAACTAACAAATGCCCAAGCTTGGTAAGGAATGTGTTAGTGTCTGAAAAACATGTTAACTAATAAGGGGAAAGTGGAGCTCAGCTTGTAAAGCAATGTAAACTATCAAATAATTTCTTCTAAAAGCAATAAATCCAAAAATTGCAAGTTTAACCCTCTTACTCATTTCATAACAACGTCCTCACACCCTTTAATGAAAAAAGGGCATATAAATGGTTAGAAAACTACAAATACCAATTACTGAATGCAAAAAGTACACAATGTCATGTCTCAGCAAAATATTATCAAAGAATCTAGAAAAGCCTTTGCCAGCCTTGGGAAATTAGGGAACTGGTGAAAACTAATTACAAAATGTCATTTCCACATTGGAATAAGTACATATATTGCAACTAAATGATAAACACACATCTGGATCACATCTAGTCTGAACTCCAAAAGAGGTCTTCACTGTACAGTCTCTTGTGAGAGTGAAGCTTTCTGCTGAAGGTAACAGGAATCTAAGGTGGCCTACCCTGTTTAAATCCACAGGTCAAACATGGCGGTATATCTTTGTAAAGTTTTTTTCATTGTACTCTTGCAAGAAATATTCACTTATATCCAGCAACTATTCATTATTTCACTAGCTCTGGGTTTACACTGAACAAAATTACCAATTATGTTCAAAACTAGTGTTCACATAGACAGCCAAATGCCTTATTTTGATGAAAAGTTGTAGTAATGAGCATGGAGAATTATTTTTATGGTTCCAAGATTCTACCAAGGGCATTAAATTGACTATTTCTTCAAGATGTTCTTCTCAAGTTTTCCTTTCACCTACTTTCTACCCTCCATTTCTTCCGCACAGATACAATATCTTCCCTGTTTCTCCAACTTTCTCTTAGTGGTTAAGGCAGTCACACAGAAAAGGTTCTCCACTTCATGGAATATTCACTATATTCCACTTTCTAACGAGGCTCTCAGTGAATCGTTCTCCTCCGACTCTCTCACTTCCCTATCTCCCTTTTGTTGTCAGTTCCCCCAGGTTTGTTCTTCCCTCTTATTTTCAGATAACTCGGATTACCCAGTTGGAACCAAAGGCCAAAGAATTTCCTCTCTATTATGTTTGATTGAAAAGCCGCCCGGGAAGAGGGAAGGGGTGTGGATCTACACTTATTCACTGTTTCACTAATGCGCCAAACTATTTGATCCGTGCCGCTTTTGTGTACCCAAAACACACTATCATAAAAGTAATTATAGGCCCGAAAATGATTCTCAGCCCAAATGAATGGCCTTTTGGGATGCTATATTCTGGACTTCTCTTTGCGTGGGGGAGGGTCTCACAAATAACGAAAACAAGTCCTACAGAAAACTGGTGAGCTCGGCGGCTGGGGGAGGGAGGGAGAGGGTCACAGGTCCGAAGTTCAAGGGACGCCGAAACAGGTCTTGACTCACTTATGAGCACGTGCTCTGACCTGGCTGGGGTGTCGCACGCAAACCCCTCGGGAGGGGTCGCTGACCACCGAGACGGCCACTGGCCTCCTGACTCATCCCGAGATAAGTCATCACCTAGGCCACAAGTCCCCAGCCAGCAGCTCCTGGATTTAGTGTGCACGGAAAATTTGGAGTTTCAGCTGCACGACCTCTAGCAGTCAGAGACGGGTCTGAATTTCCTCGGGCTCGGCCGGAAAGTGTGGATGGCGATGGAAAGGCCACCCTCCCCGAGTCTGGCCTCCGAGAGTTAAAGCCGGTCCCATCCTGGCGCGTGAAGGAGCAGCCGCTGTGTGGGGCGGACCCGAGCGGCCCCAGAGCGCGCTGCTCCGGGTCCCCGCCGCCCCGTTTCCCGCGCCCGCGCCTCTCACCTGCGGCCGAGTGGCCCGAGAGCGCACGGCCCCGGGCGCGGCGCTGGCCACCAAGCTCGCGGCGCTCGCGTAGCTCTTCCTCCTCGTCCTCCCGCCGCCGGCCCTCAGCCATGGGCGAAGCGCGGGGCGCAGCCGCGGGATGGCCGGCGAGCTGCGGCCCCGGCGCCCCAGAACGCGGGCACCCGGCCCCACGCCACCGCCCTCGGGCCGGGGGGAAGGCGGCTCCCGAAGAGGAGGCGTCGGCGGCGGCTGTGGAAATGGCCACCTCCGCGAACTCCACCTGCAGCCGGCCCGGCAGCGGCCGGGCGCGGGCCGAGCCGATTCCCCGCCTCCTTGCGGCGTCCCGGCGGCCTCTCAATCCCTGGCCTTTCCCACTCCCACTCCCGCTCTCTTCCCCCTTCCTCTTTCCCTTCCCCGCCCCGCAGAGCTCCACCGCGGATCGGGCGGGTTCGGGCCTGGCCTCGCCTCCTCAGGGAGGGGTTACCGGCCCCTAAGGCCGCCCCATGGCCACACACGCTAGAAACACCGGCTCGACCCAAACAAACGTATGCAAAATAAATAAACGGGATAGGAAGAGGGGAAAGAGGAGGTGGCCTGGCCTCTTCCTGCTTTTTCACGATATTCCAGTGTCAACAGGAAACCCATTTATTTGACACTTAAACAAAAAGAGGACCGGGGCCGAACTGGAAGAGATGGCACATCTGGGAGCTGCTGAACTTTGGAGCAAACTTGGCTTGGTGTTGGGTCGAGCTCCTGCGATGCAAACTTTTTTCTTTCCCTCTCTTTTCGCTCTTAAAAATCTAGCCTTGCTGGAGCACAGAGGATTTTTAGGGCAGTGAAACTACTATGCGTATGATTCTGTGATGGCGGATGCCTTTGTCCAAGCTCATAGAATGTACAAAACCAAGAGTGAACCCCAATGTGAACTATCGACTTTGGGTGATTATGAGGTGTCAATGTGGGTTCATCAGTTGTAGCAACTGTGGCACTCTGGTGGGGGTGTTGATAATGGGGAAGGCTATGCATGTGTGGGAGCAGGGAGGGTACATGGGAAATCTCCGTACCTTTAGCTCAGCTTTGCTGTGAACCTAAAACTGTTGTTAAAAATAGTCTAATAAGACCGGCGCGGTGGCTCACGCCTGTAATACCAGCACTTTGGGAGGCCAAGGCGGGCAGATCACGAGGTCAGGAGATAGAGACCATCCTGACTAACACGGTGAAACCCCGTCTTTACTAAAAATACAAAAAAAAAAATTAGCTGGGCGTGGTGGCGGGTGCCTGTAGTGCCAGCTATTTGAGAGGCTGAGGCAGGAGACTGAAGCTTGCAGTGAGCCGAGATCTCGCCACTGCACTCCAGCCTGGGAGACAGAGCGAGACTCCGTCTCAAAAAAAAAAAAAAAGTCTAATAAAAATGTTTAATAATAAATCAAGCCTCACTGTATTCCAGTTCGTTTAGGGCTAGGATATGGCTACAATTCTCAGAAGAACAGGAACAAAATGTGTTAAGGAGACCCATATGTGATTATTTGTAGAGAGGCAATTAGGAGAAGTGGAGAGAGCACTGGCTCTGGAGTACGAAACTGTCATTTGAAGCACTTAGCTGTGTGAGCTGCCCCTAAGAAAGTTTTTCAAAGCTGGAAAGAACCGAGTAACAAAAGTTGTGTGTACCTGTATAATACACATCTTAGGTTCAGTAGGTACACGTACCTACTTTCACACAGAGAGGAACAGATTCTGGAATTTCACCAGAAGATACCCAAGTAGCAGGCAGAAATATTACCTGGACATGAAACCTTGGGAAACTCCTGAGTGCGATGAACAGGCCTTTATCTTTAGAGTCTTGCTCTATTTCTGAGAGAGTATGACAGCTCCTAATGCTCAGCAGGTAGGAGAGAAAAAGAAAGAGAGAAAAGGGTCACTGAAAATAGAATTGCCTGCCACACCTGAGTGCTGTTTCTTTGCCTTTTCAGTAGTGGCTGTTGCCGCCTGAGAAAATCTTTCCGCTTTTAAGCAGATAAGAACCACAATCGATTCTGTGGAATTGAGGTCAAATCCACAAGTTAAAACTTTATTACTGCATAAGAGATTAAATAAGTAGACACTTAGAGAACTGGAAATTAAGCCAACAACAACAAAACAAAGGTTCTGGACCTCTAGGGTTGTTTCAAGTGTTTGGTAAGTGAAACCTTATTTGTCACTTCCCTTCAAGGATGAATAATTTAGAAGCCCCTACCTTGACCAACGGTACCATTTCATTAAGCCATTGGAGTCAGTTTCTACTATCATTGAGTCTTTTTTTTTTTTTTTTGAGATTAGAGCCTCACTCTGTTGCCGAGGCTGGAGTGCAGTGGCGGGATCTCGGCTCACTGCAACCTACGCCTCCCGGGTTCAAGGGATTCTCCTGCCTCAGGCTCCTGAGTAGTTCGGATTACAGGCATGCACCACCACGCCCAGCTAATTTTTGTATTTTTAGTAGAGACGGGGTTTTACCATGTTGGCCAGGCTGTTCTCAAACTCCTGACCTCAAGTGATCCACCCACCTCAGCCTCCCAAAGGGCTGGGATTACAGGCATAAGCCACTGCGCCCGGCCATTGAGTCTTAATTTGGAAAGGCCTGAAAGTTGTTCTGGGTTTCCCAGCCAATTAAAGCTTTGGGAATCCACATTTTTGTGGTGGGTGGGTGGTGCATGCCCAAGCCCACTCTACAATTAACAAACATTTATGGTAACTGTTGTGTGCCAAGCACCATGCTAGGTGCTGTTAGGAGACTCAAAAGAAGGAAAGAAATATCCATTATCAGATCCTATGGTAGGTGCTTTTCACATATGTCTTCTCATTACAAAAGAACAAAACAGATTCCCTGTCCTCCAGTGAGAGAGGAAGGTCTATCCAGTTTACCACAAAATGAGACAAAACTTAGTAAGTCCTTCAATAAAGATATAACTTTGGACAGGGTGTCAACATAATTCAACAGGGAAGGAATTGTCTTAACAACTGGATCTCCACATGCACACGAATGAATTTGAGCCCCTATCTCATCCCATGTGCAAAAATTAACTCAAAATGGATCATAGACCTAAACATAAGAACTAGAACTATAAAACTCTTCAAAGAAAACATAGGATTCGATCTCTGTGACCATGGTTTAAAAAATAATTTTTTAGATGTGATACCAAAATACATAAATATCAGAAGAAAAAATAAATTGGACTTAGCAAAATTTAAAACTTTCGTGTTTCAAAGGACACGATTAATAAAGTGAAAAGACAGAAGGGGAGAACATATTTTCAAATCATATATCTAATAAAGACCTTATATTCAGAACATATAAAAAAACAACTCAACAAGAGTTGTTTAAAAACCCAATTAGGCCAGGTGCAGTGGCTCACATCTGTAATCCTAGCACTTTGGGAGGCTGAGGCGGGTGGATCACCTGAGGTCAGGAGTTCCAGACCAGCCTGGCCAACCATAGCCAACATGGTGAAACCCCATCTCTATAGTGAAAATACAAAAATTAGCCAGGCACGGTGACACATGCCTGTAATCCCAGCTACTCGGGAGACTGAGATAGGAGAATCACTTGAACCCAGGAGGCAGAGGTTGCAGTGAGCTGAGATCCCACCATTGCACTCCAGTCTGGGCAACAAGAGTGAAACTCTGTCTCAAAAAAAAAAAAAAAAAAAAAAAAAACGATGAACTTTGAAAACATTATGCCAAGTGAAAGAAGCCAGAGACAAAAGATTCCTATGATCTTGTTTATGTGAAATGTCCAGAATAGGCTAATCCATAGAGACAAAATGTAGGTTGGTGGTTGCAGGGGAGGGGAGAATGGGGAGTGATGGCCAATGGGTATAAGGTTTCTTTTTGAGGTGATCAGAATATCCTAAAATCAGAAGTGGTGGCGGTTGCACAATTTTGTAAATATACTAAGGGATACATTTTTGGTGCATGAATTATATCTCAATAAAGCTGTTTTTAAAAAAGATATAACTAGTTCACTGCAAAAGCACAGAAAACAAACCAGGGAGAGGACTGCACTCTGAAGTCATCATACTGAGGAAGAGAAACCAGATAGAAGTTACAAGCCAGAACAATGTAATCATATGAAATCAAACCAAAGGTGTGGCCAACTAGTAACTAAATAAACATGCTCAAACATCCTACCCACCCAAGTGACACAACAAGAGCCAAACCCATAGAAGGAAAGTGATAAGAAACTTGGAAAGAAAATTTACATCCTAAGAGTAAAACAAGATTCACCCTCAAAGCTTGAAGGTATAACAATTTTTTTGTAAGAGATATTGAAAAAGGGCCCCCATTTTAAAGGGCAATGTTCTTGGTTTCTCACTTTAGATATATAATCTTACCTGAAGCAAAATGGTCTGCAAATAGAACACTATAAAAAATAAGAATATACTATATAAATATATATGTGGTACAGTGTTTAGCATATAGAAGCACAATAAATATTTGTTTAATGACTGAATGAACATAATTCCAATTTTTTCTTGCTGAATCACCAGAAGGCATGAGTCTCAAGGCTTTTAACTTAAAAAGTAACTATCTGGAGTTAAAAGTTTACAGTTGCAGACTTCAATGGAGAAAAAAGAAGGAAAGCCAGGGATATACAATGGATTTTAAAACTACAGCATGTCCAGAGTTTTAGCTCTTCATGTGACAGAATTTTAAGATTAAAGTAGGAGAGTGAGTCCATGAGTGGTTATTATATTATTCTCCATATTTTCTATTTGCCTTTAATTTTTCATTAAAAAAAATAAAAGCAGGTTGGGTTCCATGGCTCACACCTGTAATCCCGATGCTTTGGGAGGACAAGGTGGAAGGATTGCTTAAGGGCAGGAGTTCAAGGCCAGACTGGGCAATATAGTGAGATTCCATCTCTATTTAAAAAAGAAAAAATTAGTTGGGCCTGATGACATGTGCTTGTAGTCCCAACTACTCAGGAGGCTGAGTTGGGAGACTGACTGCTTGAGCCCAGAAGTTGGAGGCTGCAGTGAGCTATAATTTTGCCACTGCACTCCAGCCTGAGTGACACAGTGAGAACCCATATTAAAAATAAAAATAAAAATAAATGAAAAGCTAAAAGTACAGTATAATAGATTGAGATAGCTATAGTTTCTGTTTGTCCAGTGCTGTTTGTCCATAGTTTCTGTTTGTCCACTATAATTCTGTTTGTCCACTTTAGCAAATTCTCCCTGTGGCAGATTATTGCAAAACTGTTCCAAAATCTTTATGCCCCCCTCTATTCATACATTTCTAATGTACATTTGCATCTTCTTCATCAAGAAGTGGTTCCAAATTCCAGCTACTCAGGAGGCTGAGGCGAGAGGATCACTTGAGCCCAGGAGTTTGAGGCTGCAGTGAGCTATGATTGTACCACTGCACTCTAGCCTAGGTAGCTGAGTGAAACCCTGACTCTAAAAAGTAAACACAC